GTCTTAAGGCTAGTTAACTTATTAAGAGGCAAGTAAACAGTGAAATGCCCATGGAGTCAGGCTGTGGTGAAGTCCTGACTCTTCCACTCCCAGGAGGCTGAGTTGTAAACTCCGAACCACCAAGAGAACACTCCTCACAGGGTTAAACACGATGTGCTGTCATGTGCGTCACAGCGTTTGGAAAGCACATAGTAAACAGAGATGCTCAATAATCGTCAGGCGCCATTGTTCTTCTTTTAGTTTGACTTCCATTCTGTCCTCCTCAGTGGAAATTTTAGAGGTTGCATGTGTAATCGGGAAATACAATTCCCACATTTTAAATTGCTTGGTGTAAATGGGAAAATTTAATTCAAATTGTGTTCTGGTTTTATCAGTGCACGATTGCTTTGTTTCATCTTTTAAGCACCAAGATCATCTAATATATAAGATGGATGCATTCATCAAATTTACCAGGAGTGTGTATGTCTCTTTCGTCCCCTTAGGTGCTCTGTTGAGTTTAACGAGTGAACGTGGAATAATTGCATGGGCTCTGAGACAGCGCACAGAGTAAGAACATGAGTTTATTAACAATCTGCGGGCTCCTTGGCAGTGGAGTGGCAGTTCTGTCTGGGTCCCCAGGAGAACCTTGCACAGTCGGCCCTCAGTGGAAGTGGGTGAGGAGTCAGCACACCCAATGAACCAATGTGCTACTTGAGGAACACTGCAGAATCAGAGGTTGCCTGACCTCGGCTAAGACGGCGGGCTACTGGTCTGGGAGCCCTCTGTTCCAGCACAGCGCCTGGAGTGGGGCAGAGGTTTAGTAACTTGTTCGAAAGAATTACATCCTCAACCAAGGGCTTGTCTTCATAGAATAAGGTGTGTAACTCTTGATATAATAATAACCAAAACCACTTATTATTTCACATAAAATTTCACTTGTTACCACTGTCTCTCAGTTCATTTCCAAGAGATTTACAAATAATGAATACTAGTTAACCAAAGTATTATGATTATATTTTCCAATTCGGTCTCTGTCTACTGTATCATAAATGACAAGACCAAGAGGAAATCACAAAACAGTGTTCCAGAAGATTTGAGATTAACCTAGACTCACACTTCAGCATCTGAAGAGATACATTTTCCTAAATGCTCATTAGAAGTGTAGGTGGACGAACTACAAAAAATTCTGAAGTAGAGAAGGACCAGGAACATTCTGAAGGAAAAGTGACACCTAAACCAACAGTGTGCAGGGGGAAGCACTACTCTGACTAGGTAACTACACTGGTATTTACTAGAGACTGTACAACGTGGATTCCTCAAGTGCAAAATAATATGCTCAAGGTACGTGTATATATTTCAAAGGTATTTGTGGGAACACACAAGTTAGGAAATAGAAGAGAATATGAAGATTCCATGTAAATCCCTCGCATGAAGACTCAAGTGACATTTTACCCCCATACTGTCTTCAGGTAGGAGGAAGAGGAAAATCCTATTACCTCCTTCATTTCTGCCCACCTTCTGTATTCTCCTCAACCATTCTTCATTTCTCTTCATCATTAAAACGTATCAGCTTTCAACCAATAAACTTACTCAGATAAACACAATGTAGTTTTGTTTTAAAATAAGCCTTTACTGAATACATCAACAAGGTATTGTATAGTGTAGAGTGAGTGTGCAGCTAACAAAGTGTGCAACATGACAGGTCTCAGAGGACGAGTGATGCGGAAACTCCCAGCCCCTCGCGGTCCCTTGTCAGCGAGAACACACTAAACACAAACCAGCAGCAAAAGGCATGACTCAAACGAGAACAAATCATCAGGATTAGCTTTCAGTGAAGACATGCTGGTCCTCTGAGGGACGCCCGGGGGAGGCGCCTTCACCTTGCTTCTTAAAGGTCATAACCACACCCCAGTGCGTGTGTTTGCCGGTGTGCACCCATGTGTTTTACACATGGATAAAATGCCTGTTGCGGTGACCTTGCTTTGTGCTCTTCTGGTGGGTGTGCTGCTAGAAAATGAGACATTTAATACAACAATCAGATTTGTGTGTTATACCGACTGCATCATACGTGTACAAACTTCCCCACAATCAGTGACAGGCATTCCCAAGCCAGCATGGTCTTTCAACCTGCTGAAGAAGTCAGAGAAGGGATTAAATGACAGCTTTCTATGTTAGTATTTTGACTTAAAAAGAGCATCGGGCAACGTTTGACAAGATTAAGAACTAGGAAGGATCCTGTGAGTGTTTGCGTATCATTTCCCCTATTGGGCACTGTTTCCTGCTTTGCCCTCCCACACAGCTGGAAAGGTAAGTCATGAGCAAAACCATTACCCTCACCTTCAGAAGGGAAGCTTAATGTCTCCTCGTTATGGGTTGGAGAAAATGTTATGGAGAAAGAAGCCAATGGAAATTGACTTCACTGTCAGAAGTTGCAACGGGCCCTGAGTGAGGTTGGGGCAGTCCCCATCTGTGCCTGGGGACTGCCACAAGGGTTCCTGTGTCTGGGATGGGTGCTCTGCTCACACGGACAGTGCATTCTCCTCAGTGGGGAAGGAAGTTCTGGCTCCTGGGAAATGTCCATGACCATCGTGATCTGCGCTGGCAGGAAATGGAGCCGTGACCTTCACCACTTCCTTAACTTACCAGACTGGGCACATGACACTCGTTTTTTAGCCTCAGGAAAATGTGTCTAATATATTTTCGACCAACATCCAGAAAACTAGAAATTGCAGTATTTTTCATAGAGTAGAATGTTTTCCACTTGCTACACAAGGAAAATAGGCCGGGCAGAGCAGTCGTGTCTCTGCCTGTGATTGTCCCACGTGATGGGCCGTCAATGCATCTGACAGTTTCCAGGAAAGCCCAGGGCCTCTCCATGATCAAACACATCCCTCTACGGAAGCAGGGATTAAAGACAACCCCGGGCATGAATAACTCTATGATCATGACTATGCCTTTTCCTTTAGAATTTCCTCTGCATAGTGGCGGCCTGCTATCTGAAATCACCTCACTTGGACAGATGGCACCAAACTCTTTATAAGCCAGTGACTATGGCTTTGTTCACCCTTGTCACTCACCTGAACACCTCAAAATACCTAACAATGTCTGTGACAGTGGGCTAAATGCAAGGCAGATGAATCAACAAATGATATTCTCATGGCTGAAAATGTCAGTCAAAGCATAGTCCACCATGATGGTTGTTTAGCAGGCTTCCTAACACACGTTACAAATTTCATGATGTAGGTTGTGTTCTAGTGTAGGTGAGAGCCTCAGGGGTGTCATCACAAACAGGGGCTGAATGTCATGTTGGCCGCTTAGTCGTGTTGGGCACAAGATGAAAGTGAAGCCCGTCATCAGATTCTACGTCTTCAGGCACACCTCCTAGCAAAGGTTCCTCTTTAGGTCACCCCAACCAGTTCACAAGACTAGATCCCCCGTGTACCACTTAGCCCCAAATCAGTCTGAGAATCCCATAAGACAGCAAAGACATCTCTGCAGCCTTGGTCTTCTTGGTCCAAAGCACATCATTTCAGCAGCTAACTATCCCACTGAGGGTTATCCACACAGCACCAGTAAAGAAGAATGACTATTTTGTGGATAAAAGAAAGAAAACCTCCAAGGACCATCGTTTTAACACATAGTTTTATCTACAGAGCCAAGGGGAAGAGGGCAGTGGAAGGGAATTGTCGAGTTACATTCACAAGACCCCATGTCGGTGTCCTGACTTTAGATGGCTCACTGCTGCAACGCTCACCTTCACAGACGGTCTTACCCCTTCACCGTGTGGACCTGGCTCTAACAAGGCAACAGCCAGAACTCACTAGCTAATCGACTAAAATGGAGACCAAAGCACTGTAGCATTAAGTCAAATTAATTCATAGTCAATTTGCGCTCAACTGATTGCAGAGTTTCAACGATGGTGTCTAGAACATTGTATCTTCAGTTATATTTTCGGCTTATTCTGAGTGATGAGAGAGAATAAAACATAAATTGGGGCTCTATTATTAAAGAAAATAAAGCTCTCACTACAAAGAAAAAACTTGCATAGCATTTTATACCTAAAATTTTACAAGTAAGACACATCACAGTTCTATTGTTTTTAAAGGAGTGTGTAAGAGAGAGAGAGCAAGTGCACACGAACATTACCTTGTTGGGTCCCTAAAACAATGGTCAGTGGTAAAGGAAATACGCAATACAGAGTGAAATGCCTAAATTTGATTTTGAAAAGAATTTTCCATGGGTGTGTTTTTTAGATAATATGTGTGATCTATAGCCCTTCTAAATCTAAGGGAAGGGAAGGAATGAATTATATATGCCTTCTGGGGTGTGGCATGAACACCCCCTCTCTTCTCCATACCCGCTGCACTGTGCCCAGCTCTGCCAAGGTCAAGGGAACAAACCCCTCTGACTTGTCTGTTTTTCGTCTGTTATCCTGTTAATAGATGACTGATTATCTCTCCACAATTCCCAAAGGAGAGAAATATCTAAAATTGACAAGGAATAAATAAAATTTTAAAAATGGGACAGGATCACTGTCCAAGGGAGAAACGCAATAAGGCTTTCAAAAACTACATTATTTTGGCCAGATTTAATGTGTCCTTACAGAATTTTACCAGTTCAACTTAGTGTCTGTTTTTAATTGCGTAAATATGTATGAATATTTTGTGCAACAAAGACTGGCATCTTTAAAAACTTTGAAATTTTGAGCAGGGAGCGGAGGGAGAAAAGCGAACAGTGTAATAGCTAATTACGAAAATATATGTGAGGTGACTGGAAGACAAGAATTTGTGAGGGGGTAAAGGTATTAATTCACGCTATTTCAACATGATACTAACAAAGGCAATCGACACTATATAGCTGAAACACTGATCACTTGCTTTTGTCTGCACGGTAATCGGTAACAAGTTGTTTTAGTATATTCAAACACTGATCCCTTGTTGGCCTAAATATCATGTTGACATAGCTGCAATGAATCTACCCAAACAAATAATTCTCATTATCAAAAATAATTCCATTCAATATAATCTTCCCATTATTTTTTATTAGCATCTTCTAAAAAAAGTATTCTAGAATATATCTCTGTTGAATGTGATTCAACCTGACATAGAATTTTGAAGAGTAACACTTTTAAAGGGAATTTTCTTGCTGGGACATTTGACCTGTCCCTGAAGACGACTAATGTCAGACTCAGGTCTCTAACTCTGTTATCACAAAGGGCCAGGGAAACATGAGGAGTGATTTTGTAAGTTCCTGGTAAGAATGCCAACCCCCAGGCTTAAGGGTCTTTCCAAAATTCATCTCATGTTTTTGGCTCTGCCAGGCTTTTAACTTATCTCACAGGAACTGACTTCCTCGTGATGCTTTCTCCATTTCCTGTTTTGGGTCAAAAGAGGGTAACTACCTGCATACTTATATAGTTTGGATATTTTTTTTTACATTTCTTCCAGACCAGGAAGTATAGAAATAGCATGAAGATATCTCGGTCCTTCTTTATTTGACCCCTTTTATTTAGCCTACCTTGATGAATCCATTTTCACCTGCCCTCTCATCTGACCACCGGCTCTAGGAAAAGAATTCATTCTGACAGCTTCAACAGCAAAGTGGTTAATGTGCATCATAAGGAAGAATCACTCGTTCTTTTGCCTTGGCGTTGGGTTCTCTTTGTACAACCCTGTACAGTACTTCAGCAACTATATATTTTCTTAAGATTTAAAAAGCAAAGAGTTACAAAATTGTTTGTAATTAACTTGAAATAGAAAAGATAGCACTTTTTTTTTTAAATCCCATTATATAGTACACCATATAAATTACAGACTATTCAAATGCACAAATGCATCTGGGTAACATTTATCAAATGTAATTGGCGTGTCTTTATGTGCACACGGGTGTGTGTTCTTGGGAGTTTCACTGTCTGCCTGTGGACCACGGGGCCTTGGCTGTCACGTGTGGCAGTGCTCCAGGTCTGGCACACTGCTGTTGCAGTATCGAATGTTGTTGGGGATGTGGCAGTCTGTGTAATTAATGCCCCCATTTGGGGTGTAAATGGGCTGCAGTCTGAAATCTCCTTTAAGGAGCTGATCGTTATTTAAGGAGACGATCTGAAAGCTGGTTTCCGTCATCTCCAGGATGGAGTTGTCCTTCTTGGTGCCCGCCTCACAGTAGTCATCTTTCCGCCGGCCTCGGTTGTATTTCCACTTCTGGGAGGTGTAGCGCCCCTTTTTGTGCATGTGCCAGCAAAAGACGCTGAGCAAGACCACGAGCACAAATATCACTGCGCCTCCGATCAGGCCCGCCAGCAGAAAAGGGGAACCCATGCTGTGGGAGGTCGTTTGCTCGTGGCTGGAAGCAGTGTTGCTGCCATTGTTCAAATAGGAGGCGTGGGTGGTGGCCTCGGAACAAATGGTGTCTTCTACGGCTCGGTAGTTAAAAGCATCCAGTGGCACTAAACAAATCCGATAGGTGGACCTGGGCTCCAGGTTAACCAGGCTCAAATGCTGCTTTTCCCCACTGACGATGCGTTCCTGAACAATGCCCCCAACTAAACTGTGGCCCATTTTCACCCAGGTGAGTTTGTATGCCATCACAGTAAAGAGAGACAGCCAGCTGACTTGAATGGATGTATCATTCACAAAATGGACAGAGAGCTGGATCCGTTCAGAAATGGGCGGGGTCGCTCTTTCTCTGCCATCCCAGTCGGGAATAGTGGGAAGTTTCGAGCTGGTAGGAGTCGGAGGTGTATAGCTTTTGCTAGGAGTTAAGACAGAGAGTGTGGGTGGCTGAGTTGTTGGAGAAGCTGTACTTGGGGCTGAGGTGAAGACAGGCAGGCGGGGGGTCGTGGTGGGGCATGACAAAAGATTCAGGTTCAGCTCCCTGACAGCCATCCCGCGGACTTGCTCAGGACCTTGGCACATGAAACCTCGGACGTTGAGAGATGAAGGGATGTATTTGAGCCATTCTGTGACCCATTTAATACCGCAGTCACAAAACCAAGGGTTATTCCGAGCAGTGAGCTGTTTCAGGTTGGAGAGATTGTCAAAGACCCCTTGAGTCAGCACACGCAGCTGGTTGTTGGATATATCCAACCGCTCCAGCTTACGGAGGTTGGAAAAGGCCGTCAGAGGGATGTGGTTTATCTGGTTGTCCTGCAGATACAGCCGGAGCAGATGCGTACCTGGGAGGTCAGATGGGGGGTGGGAGAGCGAATTCCTTACGATTGAAAATTCCTTGAGCTTGGTGAGATGGCTGAAGGTGCCCTCGGCAATGCCTTTGTTAGTCAGGAGATTCCCGTCCACAATCAGACGCTCCAAGCTCGTGAGATTCTGAAAGGCCATGTCTGATATGACAGCGATTCGGTTTTCATCCACTCTCAGCTCTTGCAAGTCCACAGGAAGCCCAACAGGCACGCTGCTCAGGTGATTCTTGGACAGAAACAACAGCTTGAGGCTAACAGCCTCCCGGAAGGCCCCGTCTTCCACCCCCACTGTGGATATAGAGTTGTCATCCAGGTGTAGCTCTTCGAGCTTCAAGAGCTGAGCAAGGGCTGCCCGTGAGATGGTCTGAATGTTGTTTTCCTGCAAATGGAGAACTCGAACATTCTTGGGGAGGTTCATGGGGAACTCATCCAGTTGGTTGCCGTAAAGGTAGACCGTGTGCACTGACTGCACGTTGTGCAGTTCTGCAGGAAATCCAGCATTATTAATTTGGTTGTTGTGGAGGTAGAGCACGGTTACGCCCTCCGGGATCCCAAGAGGCACTGAGGTCAAGCTTCGCTCGTTACAGTAGACAAAGTTCCTGTCGCAGCGGCAGACACTGGGGCACCCCAGGAGTTTCGACACTTGTGAGGAGAGCCCCAGAGAAATGAGAAGCCAAGATTTCAGGAAAAAAGCCCCATGGCTGGGCCACTGTGTGGTCTGTACGCCCATTGCTGAAGTACACAAATCAAATACAAAGTGGTGGGGAAATGAAAAAGAAAAAAATAGAAAGCAAAACCAAAATGACTGGATGGAGTTCTGTCCAAGTCCAGAACTCCAACTAGAGGAGAGTCCCAAAGGCCCACGGTCAAAGAATCTTCCTGCAGTCTCTGGTCTTACCAGCCTGTGTTGACCTCCTTGCTATTGTCCTCCATGTGCAAAAAGGAATTCAACAGAGAGAATTTTCTACACAAGCCAGCAATGAAGCCAAGTTATCAGCGCTCAACAGGGGCCCTGTTGGGCAGGCAGAACACCTTGCCTTCTGTTGTACGTCAGAACAGCGTTGGTCAGTCTGTGAACTTCTTGGGTTAGCTCAATCTGCAACCTGTGTAGGAAAGCAGAGAGAAAAGAGTCAGTTGAGGGCAGTACTGGAAGAAAGTGTTGACCTGACTGTACTGCTCCAAAGAATGCTGTGATTGGGACTAAATGACTAGAGGCAGGTGACTGGCATTAAGTGATACTTAAGGAACAATAATTTCATTGAAAAGATATTCAAGAAATGAAATGACTCAATTATCTTCAAACAAATCCATACTGTTACCTCTCATTGTCAATCCCTATACTGTGAATTTTACAGTCGCAGTCAGTACCATCTCATAAGTACCTATCTGCATATCCATAGGCACGCTGATGAATCCTCTGATTCAAATAATGAGATTACCTACAAATCCAACTGGTTGGCATCTTGTTTCAAGATGGGACAAGTAAATGAGGAATTAATAGAATTTTAGGGGAAAATGCAAAACCTTTTCAAGTTATAAACAAACCAATGCAAATTGGGAACCAACAAAGCCAACTCCAAAGATGCAGCCTTTTGATCCGACACCTTGAGGAAGCACTACAAACTTAAGGCACTGAAGCATGTGCGGGCGCACAGAGAAGACTTTTCTGCCCCGTTTCCTGCCTCTTCTCATCTCTAGTGTTCCTCTAAAATAGCTTACACCCTGGTTACCAAGGACAATGGCCACAGTCCAGTCCGGGACTCATTTTCACTCATCCCCTCCTTCGGGACCTCCACATGGAGATGAGACATGCACCTGTGAGCCCTTTGAGAGCTGCAAAACTCATGATTGGGAACACATTATTTTTTCAACAACACGACCTTCTTTCCAGCCATGAGTTTTTCCTGCTTTTAAAGTAGGACTTTCAGAAAACTTTGAAATGATAGAAGACACAGTTACGGAAGTAAAGGCAACCTACAGATAAGTACTCATGCCTTCATGCTCCAGAACTTGTCCCAACTGTTTTTTAGATTAGAGAGGTAAAGAAGTTAATTGAAAGGTGCCAGATTTGATTTTCCTACAAAATAAGCTAACATGACAGGGCATGGAAAGCTATGCATCTCTTAATTCTCACCAATAACCAGAGATTGAAACTACTTACATCAAAAAGCACGGGAAACTATTTGAAATTGTTCCCTTAGCTTTCTTTAGAAACATAATTTAAAAAGAAAAAAAGTGTAAGTGCCATTTAAGTGGCAAAGATATTGTATATTTTTCCACAATATAAAAGTTTTTGAACTATATGAAAAAATGCCTTTGATGACCTGAAGTGGTAAAATTCACTATTTATTATTCAGAATTATTTTAAATAGGGGTAGGGGCAGCAGCCTCTTTCCAGGCAAACAGATATATATGATACTTTGAGAAAAAACAAAAAGTTACTTAATTAAACTTACAAATATCTGTTTTGATTGATCATAACCATTCCCTTCTAGCAAAACCCCTCTATGCTTAAAGAATAGTGTACAGGACAACTAAAGCAAGTGTCAGAAAAATGAGTTCGATGCATAAGCTTGCTGCCATTTTTAGCTCAGGTTTCAAATTTTCAAACCCTCTCAATGTTCCCTAATAGCCTGTTACTCAAGCGTGAGCCTTGGTCCAGAAGCATTCACTTGACCTCCATCGTTGAAAACACAGTACCTACGTGTTAGTGAGAGCCTCGGATGGGCACATTAAAATCTTAAAAACATCCCCCAAAAGTGTGCCATCTTATTTAATCATTCAGATGTTTTAAAGTATCACATGTCAAACACCTGTAAAAGCATGCCGAACGACTCTTCCAAGAAGAGCAAAGGCATCAGGCATACTTACCACTTCTGTCTCCAACAGATAGTCTCAACTTGCATCTTACATGCAAATGACATTTTATAAGTGGAGCAGTGCAATGCCTAGAAATGTCACCTCAGTGGACGCTTGGAAAGTGTTTATCTGAATGACAAGAAGGAATGTCTGTAGGAGTCACTGGTAATCAGGAGTCCAATTTTCTAAAGCATGACTTATTTAAGAACATGAAACTTGTGCTGTTAGTGTTTACGTTTCAAAAGGGGTAGAATATGGAGACAAAAAGAAAATCTAGTGTATTTTTGAGTCTTCGACAAGAATCTTCAAAGTATGATGTGAACGCACAGGGCATCAGATTTCCTAAGGGGGAGGAACTGCTGCACCAGGGTCTCTGAGTGAGTTCCTATGTACAAAAAACTGATGCCCAACTCTGTTTACACGCCAAGGGTTTAGGGCCTGAAAACAATAAACCCATACTTGAAAATGACAGCATTTACTTGGAAAGCTCCTCAGCTAACAGCCTGAAAGCAAAAATCACTGGGAGTTAACAAAGTTCTCTGCAATGACCTGGGGACTTTCAATATGTACCCAAATTACGAATTTTCCACTTGCTGAGTTGTGTCCCCTGGAAGAAGAGGAGGGGTAGTCCCTCTGCCCAGACCTCATGCCCTTGCGAGTGTCTTTTATTGTAAGTGTTTCTTCTCTAATTACACAAGAAGAGGAAGCGGTCCTGAAGACGGCTCCTCATAGGATGACAAGGGGCAACTGCTACTGTTTATCCACCTTCCTAGGAGAAAAGTTCCATCTAGATCACAGCGTGTTGATCAGTTCTCACAACTGCAAGCTGGGATGAGAACAAACTCTTGGGGGTTTTCTCAGAGCGCCCTGGGAACCCCCCGCAAACTCTCAGTGCACAGTAGATTTGCGCTCATCCTTGGATCCACAACAGCCTACATGTCATGTCAGCCAATATATTGTATCTCTGTTCACAGTAGCGCAAGTAGAACATTACAAACATGCAGAAAAAATATTTTTGAATTTCAGTGAGTGAAAATTTCCTCTATGTGCTCAGCTTTAATTCCTACCAAATATCTAAGGCAGAAATCCTTTTAGACCTTAAGCTGGAGACTATTCGCAGAGACAGAGCACTAAGTTATAGTCAAAAGGCTGGGCCCTGAGAGCTCATCCCACCTCTGACCCTCAGCAGCTCTGGGACTTTGGATAAACCAATCTTTTAAGTCTTAGTCTCCTCCTATGAGAAATGAGGATAATATAGTTCCCAAATCACAGAACTCTTGGGAGGATTAAACTAGATAACATGGTGAAAAGCTTATATGGTGCCTTACACATGAAAAAACACACACAATATTATAAATGGTTATTCTCTGTGTACTTGTTATTATTAGTGCTGTCCAAAGATATAAACTCCAACATGTAGAGAAAAATAAAATCACATTTGAGCTAACATCTGTGCTCTTTGACTTACCCCAGGATTTCTCATCTTCAGAACGATTGACATTTTGAGCCCAGTAAGTCTTTGGTTGTGGGTTTGCCGTGAGCACCCAAACATGTCCCCAGGACAGTGCCATCTGCATGTCTGCTAGGACAGCAAGACCTCCCAAGTTGGGAACCATCCTTCTAAGTACCTGAGGAGGTGCTTCCTCTGATGCTACAGCGGAAATTCAAGGTAAGCTTCTAATAAATGCTAAAAATGCTCCTTGCTTTGGAGACCGAAAATGCAATATGTTTTTCATTCATCTATTCACTCAATATTTATAGGACATAGAATGAGCACACAGTCTTTTGCAGAGCTGATGTGGTTTTTGGCTTCCTGAGGCTTAATGTTTAGTGAGGGGAGAAAACTGAAGAACAGGGAACACGGTGCTGTGTAAGCAGCACTAACCTTGGGGCCTCAGGGAATGACATACTGTGTATAAAGTTCTAACCTAGCCCGCCGAGTGTCAGAATAAAAACACTGAAGGGGAAGGACTGTCTACGCGGTGATCTGAAGGATAAGAAGGGGCAAGCCAGCGAAGATTCAACAAGTTCTGCTCACGGACCCACGCTGGTCATAATGTGGATCAAGAGGCAAACCCCAGACCAGCTGAGAAAAAGAACAAAACTTCGACTTTCCCTGACTTTGTCTGCTCCTCACTGAGGCAGTCCTGTTTTTAGAAGACCGGAAACAAGCACATGTTTCAAAACCATTTGCCATTTCATTTGCAAGTCTCTACTGTTAGGAATAAACAGGCTTAGCCATAGAAGATAAATTTAAAATATGGAAGTAACGGTTGTGTTTTTTCTTTTTTTCTTTCCTATTTGTTTGTTGTATCGACTGCATTCCCCCTCCAGGAAACAGAAGATGATGAAGAATGGCTTCACAGAAGGTGCTAGGTAAAGGCAGAAATGTTTATTGAGAAGCTGAAAGTACAGTTTCAAAAGCATGGGTGTAAATCAATACGCAACCAATGCACTTTGGAGACAGCCAGACCTGGCCCTGCCAGTCTGCAAACAATGACAGTAACAGCAGAAGTTGTCCCCAGATACTTTACTCAACTCTTCTCATCGGAACTGAAACTCAAAGCAGGCAAATCATAGAAAAGCTTGCTACAAAGTGTTTCTTTCCTAGTGCTGCCTAAGAAGATTTTTGGTTCTTTTAAATTAATTCCAGGATGCCCTCTTCCAGGAGCACTTAATAAACTCAGACTATAAAAAATCATAGTTCAGAAAATAGGAACTGTCAATAAGCACTGCCGATTGCATAATGTAATGATACTAGGAAGAACCTAATAAAATCTTAATGGTTTCAGCATGGCTGGATTGGGACAAGATAGCACAGTGCAGGAAGCGATGCTGATACCAATAGGCGGGCTGTAGACAGGTTGTCGGGATGCTGTGAGTGGACCGAGGGCATGGTATGCAGCCAGACAATACTGTCAGGAACCACCTGGAGCCATGGTAAGGATACTGTGAGTTTTACAATGCACCCACGGATTAGCCGCTTTGCCCAGGTAACTGAGCCCCTGCCTTGTGAAGGATGCGCCCCTGATATGGAGTGCTCTGCTCCTGACTGCTGGTCCCCACCCCCATCTTTCAAGGTCTAGTCCTTGGCTCTGCCTGAGAGGTCAGGCGGGGTTTCCAGGGTCCCTTTCCTTTGTCGGTGGGCCTTGAGTATGGGCAACTAGCTGTATGTGGGAACTAGGGCATGGGGGCGGGCACAGAGTTAACTGGACTCCACGGGAATCTCCCACATCCCTGGGCG